AAAGATTTATTTATTTATGCATACAAGAGCTGGTGTGCGGGCCAGAGATGTGGGGGGTGAGCGGATTCACCAGAGACAGAGTGGGGAGCAGAACAGGCAGACCCACTGAAATACACTGCTGAGGGCAGCAGTGGGGAGTCAGGAGAGGTCTGCTGCACTATGTGGGTCATCTCCTTGGCCTTGGATTGAACTCATGCTGCGGTGGCTGCAGATAGCTTCATAGTGCTGAGTGAAGACACTTTTCATTTTTGTTACAATATTTTTTATTTTACCTTTTTTTTTTTTTTTTTAGAATTTCCATATCTGTTTACATTATCTGTCTGTTCTTGGCATCTGTCTACATTTTCTATTAGAACCCTAAACACATTATGCACAGTTACTTTAAATTCTTTATCAGATTTCCAGTATCTCTGTTGTATGTAAAGTCTGACTCTGATACTTTCTCTGACTTTTCAAACTTTTTTTTGCCTTTCAGGATACCTTATAATTTTTTAAAAATACGTTTATTGAGGTAACATGGTTACCTTTTTTCCGGGATATGTTTGAAAGTTTTGTTTTTTAGTGAAAGCAGTCGTAATACATTGGGTAAAAAGAACTCCAGTAAAAGAGCCTCTTGTAGTATGGTGAGGTGCTGGGGAGGGAGCATTCTGTAGTCTGTGACCAGGCCACAATCTTTTAATGACTCTGTACTGCTGAATGACCTTTTCTCTGATCTTCGCCCTGTGGACCTGGTAGGGCTTTTGGAAGTAAAATTCATATAAATGTGGAGGTCTCAGACCCTCTCCCCACCCCCTGCCCCCATGACTATGTCCTATTAGTTTTTCTCTCTTAAGACTTGTGTACCTAGAGCCTCCAGCAGGTGGTCAGTCACAGTTCCGTGCTCCCACCCAGCATGCGTGCCTGAGAGGCTTCTGTTTAATGACTTGTGATTTTCTGTATCTGCCTGTCTCTCCAGTTTTAGGGGCAGAAGTTATTAACCTTTGTAACCTCAATACTCTGGCCAATCTAAGAGATACTGTTGATTTTTTTAACTCGTTCAGCTTCTTAGGACAGTGTGATGACTTCCTAAGCCCTTACATGCTGACATGAAAATGGGAACCTTTTTTTTAAGTTTATAAGAGCTTTTGTTTTCACTTTTCAAGCCTCTTGTCCCATTTTGTGACTAAAATATCTGTTTCCTTCAGGTTGGTATTACAATATAGAAGAAGGGTCTTTTATTTAATCTTGGTGGTTCTTGGATCTTGAGATAACTATGTTGCTTGTTTTCATCTTTCCCTGTCATACCAATTTTTTTTTTAACTTTCAATGTTTGCATACATTTTTAAGAAGTATTGTTTGATGACAAATCTTACCTTTTCATAGGTGGTAAATATTAGAGTCATTTCTTTCATGGTACTCTTTTGGGTGGAAAAGTCAGCTTGTGGGATCATGTGATGATGAGTGGGGCCTCATGAACTTAGCATAGTCTATGTTTGGGTTCATTTTTCTTTGCATAATCCAAGGTATCTTAAATCATGCCAAAAACAGTTGTCTTGCCATTTCCACAGTGGATTCTGAATCCAAATACAAAGCTGACATCAAGGATCATCTCAAGCATTTTAGCTAGTTTTTCTTGAATTTCTGTCCTAGGTACTCTTGCCTTTCCAGGGTGTGAAGAAGGTCAGTGACCATTGGTTTTGGCTGAAGTAGTGGGTTAGTTGTAAGCTCCCTGATCCGTAATTTAGTGTCTGTGTTTTTCATTTATTAACTCTTCACTGTTTACACCAAGTCAGGTGTTTCAGGGATGCTAAAGGTAGATAAACTGTTTTTCTAATTTGTATCTTACCTTTGTACATAAGCTGCTCACTTCTCTAATGCATGTAAACTTGTTGGGTGATGATGGGGCAATGATTCTTAACATTCAGGGCCATGCCTCATTCTCTTCATCAGTAAGAATGGATGATCTTAAAATGGACCAGTTGGCCATATATCTCCTTTTTCAGTTAACTATTTAAAATTGTAATTGTAGGGCCTCCCTGGTGGCACAGGGGTTAAAGTCTCAGCACTATCAAGCTATCATCAGCCACTGTGGCATGAATTTGACCCCTGGGCAGGGAGCTAACCCACATGTCACAGCAGACCTCTCCTGTCTCACCTGCTGCTCCCCTCAGCCGTATCAGTGGATCTGCCTGTTCTGCTCCCCACTCTGTCTCTGGTGAATTCTCTTGCTCCCCCCACACCTTTGCCTACACCCCAGTTCTTGTATGCATAAATAAATTAAATCTTTTTTAAAATGATGTTTGTAAAACATAAAGAGAATAAAATTGTAATTGTAATGTTAGTACATGAATTTGTATTTAAAACAATGCATGCATTAATGTAAAGCCAAGGACAGAGAACTTTGTAGGTAACCCAGAAACCTTCCTCTTCTACTCAGTAGAACATTTTTCTGAGTTTATGGTAAAAAGTTGTTTTCTTTTTATTTTTACTCTCTAATGTTAATTTTAATATAGTGGGTGCTGCTTTTACTGCATCCTGTAGATTTTGGTATATTTTGGTTTTGTTTAAAATAGTTGAATTTTTGTTGTGATTCTGTTTTTGAACTGTGGATGGTTTAGAAGATTGTTGTTTGACTTTCAAATATTTACAAGTATCTTACTATTCTAGTTTAATTCTGAAAAGTCTGATGTGGTCAGAGCAACATTCTACATGTATTTAAGTTGTTTTTAGTGTATTGAGACTTTCATTATAAGTAACATGTGGTAGGGGCCTCCCTGGTGATACAAGGGGTTAACATGCAAGCTATGAAGCTATCTGCAGCCACTGTAGCACGAGTTTGATCCCCGGACAGGGAGCTTCCCACATGGCACAACAGACCTCTCCTGATTTGTCCTCTGCTCCCCTCAGCAGTGTATTTCGGTCCATCTGCCTGTTCTCGTCCCCACTCTGTCTCTGGTGAATCCTCTCACCCCCCGTGTCTCTGTCCTGTACCCCAGTTCTCGTATGCATAAATAAATCTTTCCCAAAAATAAGTAGCATATGGTGTATCTTAATATTGTAAACTTGGAAAGAATGTGTATTTTGGAACTTATTAGATTAGTATTCTATAAATGTCAAGTTGGCTGCTGTGACATTCAGGACTTCTGTAACCTGATTGACTACCCACTTGTTATATCAGTTACTCAGAAGAGTTCACATCTCTTAAGTATCACTGTGGATATGTTGGTTTTTCTTATCAGATCTGTCAGTTTTTGCTTCATGTATTTCAGCATTCTGAAAATAGGTTCATAAATATTTGAGATTGTTACAGCTTCTTAAATAATTAACCCTTTTGTAATTTTGGAATGTTCTTTTTGATTACTTTTTAAGTCAATTTGTCTTACATTAATAATTGTTTTCTTAGAAAATCTTAATTGGTACCTATACGCTATTTGCATTTAATATATTTGTTGTTGGGTTTGAAAGATAATTTTGCTGAATATTGTATTCTAAGTCCACAAGTAAGTTGTTGTGTTGATTTATACTTGTTATACCTTGAAGATTTATTCTACTGTCCTCTGGCTTACATTGTTCCTGACATTAAATTTATATTTAATGTCTTTTATTGTTTTAAAAGTGCTTTGTGGTTTTCAGAAATGTCAGCAGGGTGTGCCTTGGTGTCACTTTTTTTGTTTTGGTCTGACTTTAACATCATTGTTATTGTTGGCTGTGTCAAATTTTTTTTTTTTTTTTTGTAATCACACCTGGAAACCTTTCTGCCATTGTATATCTTAGGTTTGTTTCTTCTTTCACCCCTCACAGCTCTCTCTCTAGTGGAGCCTAGTTTCATTTAAGTTAGAACACTTGAAATTGTCTTGCAGGTCCCTGAGCCATTTCTTTATCTCTGCTGAGCCATATTGGGCACTTTGTATTACAGTGTCTCAGCTCACAGATCTCTTTCTCAGTGGAATTTAACATACTGTTAATCACATCCAATGAACTTCATTTTTCCACTTTGGATCATATGTGGTGTTTTTTTTTTGTTTTTTGCCAATTTCTATTTCCTTTTCTTTCCATTTTTCTATTTTTGTCTTAAATATTTGAGCATATTTATAGTGCTTTGAATATCTTTGCCTGTTTTATTATGAAGTTTTGGTTAAAATTTGCTTGGTTATAGATCTTTTGCTATTTTTGTGTGTTTGGTAATTTTTCTAGGGGTATGGGACATTTGAGAAGTGTTGGCTTTTGTTTGGGCAAGGAGGTAGTAGGATGGATCTGTGGTAATGTCTATTTTTAGGGCTGTTTCAGTCTTCCTGCGTAGGGGGTCACCTTTTTGTGATTTTACGGACTCTACCAGTTGTTCAGGGAGGTGGCTAGGTGGACTTTGAAAGCTTTCATGCCTTGCAGGTTAGTATCTAGTCAAAGACTTTGGACTCATCTCCTAGATAGTCCATCTGGGAAACTTCTACCTTCAGCTCTGTTCTACAAGCCCCATCCACCTTACCTTTCCAGTTGCAGCCTGCCTGTCAGCATAAAAATAAACAGTATTCTTCGTTTCTCCATCAGCTACCATTATCTGCATTGCTCTTCGGATGCAGCAGGGGCCCCAGATGTACCTTCTGCTCTTTGGGCCCAGACTCCTATGCTGCCTGCCCATCTCCTGTCTGGGTCCAGATGTTTCTTTCATATATTTTGTTTTCTACTTGTGTGTGTCAGGAAGACAAATCCTGCAACTTTCAGTAAATTTGTAGTTAAGATTGTCATTTATTTTTGTTGTAGTCTTTTCCCACATGATTTTGATTTTCTGTTTTATGGCTGATTTGGGTAGATGAACTATTTTCCCTATCATTTTATTTTCCCAGAAACCCTTCCTTATAAAAGTTAAACAAACAGATGGCCTTTTTTTTTTTTTTTATCATGTTGGCTGTTCATGGTTTTCCTTCATTTTATGCTTTATATGGCAATTTTTCAAAAGTTAATTTTTTTCCCAAGTTCTGAGATAATGTACAGTTTTCAGTGATTGGTACTCTCTTCTTTTTTAGGCCATGCTGGTGTGTCTGCAAGCATGATGAAGAAAAGGACATCCCACAAGTAAGCTCTTCTGAAGTTTGCTTTGAGATAGTGGGCTGTGGCTGTTATTGGTGGAATATGAGGTCACCTGGGTGGTGCCCTGTCCCCTGGTATGGAAGAAGCCTTGGCACACATAGCAAGTTTGTGGTTGTGCCCTCTGTTGAATACTGGTGTGAAGTCTTGTTCCTGCCCACTTCCTGGTCACCTGGCCCGAGTATCCTGGCCTCATTCTTCAGCCTTTATAAGCCTGGACTGGTGGGAGGTGAGGGGCTAGGTGCACTCCTCCTGCTTCTCCCCTCAGAGAGGTCGCACAGCTCCTGCATGCAACATCTTCCCCCATCCTTGACTCCACTGCTGGATAAGGAGCTCCTGTGGATGGACACTGTGGCTTATGCTGGGAGACCTGACTGACATGTGGCCCAGCGCACACCCACTGCTTTATGACACTTTCAAATGATTGAAAAACTTTAGAGAATGCTTATGCATGTTGAATGATAAATAGCCATGTATTCTTAAGTGACAAATTTGTCATAAATCTTAAATTTTATGGATACTAGAGTATCGTTTTCCTCCTTGAAAACTTTTGGTGTGTGATATTGCTCTGTACAAAAAGAAAATCGAGATGCCATCTTACATAATACTATCCCATTTGTGCTGTCATACATTTCGGCTGCTACTTCAGCATGGAAGCTGTTTTGACAAGATTAGTTCTGATTCTGAGCCTTAGTCATAAATTGTTAATGTAGACAAGCTCCTCTTGACTTGCACTCCTGAGGCAGTTCTCTCCAAATTATTTCTGGTGAGAGACTTAATGCCCCTTGGTCACTGTTCTGTAGTGGTTGAATCGGGAAAATTTCCTTGTTGCTGGCAAAGGTGAACAGAAATAACAATGCCCTTTCATAATTGTTAGTGATGAAACCAAACATGTCTCCCATTTAAATGAATACATGGGACATAATGTAAATATTTGCAATTTTCAGTTTAAGAAATTACCTGGAAAATTAATGTGTGAAGGTTGGTAAGTATGCTCTTGTGTTCCTAAGGTTTGATGAAATAACTTTCAAATTTCATTCATTTGCCCATTACTTTTACTTTTCTTCCTTGCTAAGTGATCTAATAACTTCTGTAAAGCATCTCACTTATTACCATGTCATTACCATAAATGGTAAGCCATATCTTGCTACAAATAGAAGGTAACAATAATAACAAATATAAGCCATAAATGTTATGTGGTGATAAAGTTAAATACAGTGGTGAATAAAAGTGAGGTATAAGTTAACTATGCAAGAACAGAATGATCATGCAAACTAGATTTTTGCTGATTAGTTTAAGATAAATGACCTTAAGAATGTAATGTGCATTGTTTCATCCATTTTTATATATTTCCAACTATGATTAATAGTTTGTTTAAGTTGGATTTCAGGCATTCTTGGGTTTAAGCTCTTGAGAAAGATTTCATGTCTTCATCCTAAGCAATATTGATTCTTACCACAAGGCTTTGATGTATTATCTTTTTTTCCTAAAGCACAAGGAATAAATGACTACTTATTCAATTTTCAAAGTTCGTGTATGTATTAGCTAAAAGGAGATCTCATCCTGTTCGTTGGGCCACATGGAACTTGACCTAGTGCTTTAGCAGGAAGCCTACTTTGCTCTACAGACCAGAAGCCTTGAACATGTTATAAAAGGGAGAAGTCAAAATGAGAGGATGAATTTAGGTTTCATGGTTCTTCCTTTCAAAAGTTTTCAAATGTTGGTCAATTTTTTTCTTTCGTAGTTTGAGTAGTAACAGATTTCCATGGAGGGTAACTGGGCTTACTGGTATGTTTCTCCCTAAAGCAAAGTTAGAAATGAGTGGTGGTCACACTTAAGTGCTGGTATTTCCAGAAACTTTTTCCTTTCATTAATCAGACAGAAGTGCTAGGCAGTGCCAGAAACTATCATTACTGCCTCCTCTCCCTGATGTGGATCTGTGTCATTTTCATTGCCCTCTTGTTCAGTAGGAACATGAGCTCTCTGTGCTCAGAGGTTAGGTAACTTGCCCTGGGAGTCACAGAGGAAGTGATGGAGCTTAGATTCAGAAACAGGAAAGTGGTCCTAGAACCATAGTAACACCACCATCAAATTTTCTGAATTACATGCATTGCTGTCTCCTCTGAAAAATGGCATATTTCCACTATAAACACACATACTGGATAACTGTTAGAGCAGACTTCCATTGAAGCAGGGTGTGGACAGTTTTATTGATGAAAATGTAATACTGTCTAACAACTTGTAGCAACTGTTATTCACATCAGTGAGAGGAACAGGAAGTTGGAAGAAGATCCTGGAGGCATTTTGATGTTACTGTGGCCATCTCTGGTATTCTCAGGGCACAGTAGTATAGAAGTCATGAAAGAGACCATAATGAGCTGACGGAAAGCTGACTTTTTCTCCATCCTGCTTGTATTTTGTTACTTAAGTTGGCAGAGCATTGTGAAACTTTTATCAAACAACAAGTACCAGAAAAAGTTTTTTCTCTCTTTACTTATGGGCATGCATCTTGCCAAAAAAACCCAATTGTTTTGATTTAATCAGTGCTTTCTTTGGGAATCTGTCCTAACAGAAGAATAAGGGAGCACTTTTATACCACACTACTAAGTAAGAATAAGGAGAGTGTCAGTAATTAATCATACAACAAACTACACAGTTAGTGACATATGTTTACTCATTCACGGTAGAATTGTGATAGTTGAAATTTAATTTAGCAGCTATGGTGCCTGCTAATATTGGCAGTCAAAACAGTGAGGTTTACTGATGAGGAATAATAGTTCGTCATTTCATGTCATTAAGGTATTTAGGTGGTAGAATAACTAGAATCATACTTTTAGAATTTACTGAAGTATTGAGTAAAATATGTAGGTGTCCACCCCTGAAACCTCAGTTGACTTTTCTTGGAACATAAGTGAGTGTGCTCTCAGTGCTCCTTGGGGCGGTGTCCTGGGAATCAGTGCCACAGGGAGCTTATTAGAGCCTTTGCTCCTCTCCAGACCCGCATGATGGATAGGGTGTAGGGATCTCTCTTCACAGGCCTTCCGGGTTTAAGCATCACTGCTCTGAACTATTGTGATGTCTTAGTCACCTTGTGTAGAAGCTATGAAAAGGTGGTTCGTGTGCAGTTGGACACTTATTTTTCATGTTGGAACTACAAGAAGAGATATTCTTAGCCCTCAGGACAGATACTAGTTCATTCCTAATGAAGCCAAATGTTTTTGAATCACATTAGACTTCTTTTTTTGAGCTGTTTGTTTCAAGAAATAGCTTCTGGAGACACGATATAAGGAAAGAGATATTTAATTCTGATTTATTTGCTTTTATGCTCACGTTGTTTGGATCCTGATACAATGCAGCTTTTTATTTGCATCTGGCTGTAATTCTGGATATCCTCCTTTAAGTGTTTATTTACTACCTGGTAAATGATCCACAACGTTTAGGCTCCTTCCTGAGAAAATAGAGAAGGTAGTGTGTTTTCATTTTGAGGGTTCCTCAAGATTTGAAGTTTTTGTTAGTTATAGAAGCCCTCCTCTCACACCAGAGCACTTAGAAATTTCTGAAAAAAATAAAGGAAAAACAGATTTATGTAAAACCTGAGCTGAGCTGAAGAAATCTTAGCTATTTGGAGCTGAAAACGAAGACCTCCCTAAAGTTAATATTCAGGGCCTTCCCTGGTGGCGCAGCGGTTGAGCGCTGGGCTGCGAGGCTGCCCGCAGCCTCTGCAGAGCTGGTTCGTTCCCCGGGCCTCGGCGAGGGTCCCACCAAAAAAAAAAAAAAGTTAATATTCAAACCAGCTGCGTAGAATCTCTCTGGGTCAGAGACAGCGAAAGCTGGCTGTAAATTTAAATTCCTTCCAGGTGGATGAAAAGTCTCCTTTTCTCCAATACTCCTGCCTTACAGCTGGAGAACACTCCAGCTGTTCTACACAACTCCCTGCTTCTCCAGAACTTACTACTTGAGTGTCAGCAACTTGAGCTGAAGAAATACTTTACAGCTACAAATAACCTTTAATCTTGACTTGCATCTAATTGTGAACACCAAGGTAACCTGAGGATTTTCAACAGCATGGCAGAAAGTCATTAGAATGAGAAGATCCACTGAATTAGCAGACAGGTGGCACTAAATCTGGCACAGAGAAGACGAGCCCCAAAGCATTCAGAGAGGGATCAGGAAAGGAGATGAGCGTTAACCCTCCTGTGCCAGAGGCAGGTTCTTAAAAGATATACAAGATAAGATAAACAGTTCATAGAAATTAAAAATACTATGTGTAAGACATTTCGTGGAAAGATTGAAATTCAGACTTAGGATTTAACTTAATTCAAGCAAAGTTGAGCTGGAATGTCTTCAAGAAGCACAGGATGAGGAGGGTGTCATGGAGGGTGTGTCTAGGCATGCTAGCATTCCTCCAGTGCAAGTTTCAGTATGGATGGGAGGACACACTAAGAAATAGTATGGAAAATAATTTCGCATAGCTGTCTTTAGATTGATCAACTAAAGGATGCCAGCCAGTTGGTGAAGGGTAATTAACACGTCACAAGTCTAAGTGACATTTCAGAATCCAAAAAACAAGTAATATTTTAAAAGCAACTTGAAAAGGAAAACTGTGTTGCCCTCAGTGGGAATGCAAACTGGTACAGCCTTTATAGAAAACAATGTGGGGGTTTCTCAAGATACTAAAAAAAAGATCTACTGTATGTATGACCCAGCAATTCCACTCCTAGACATCTACCCAAAGAATGCAAGAACTCTAATTAGAAGGGATATATGCAATCCTATGTTCATTGCAGCACAATTTGCAATAGCTAAATTATGGAAACAACGTAAGTACCGAGGTACTTAGGTACAAGATGAGTGGATTAAGAATATGGTATATACATTTATTGGAATACTACTCAGCGATAAAAAAATGAAAAGATGATTTCTTGACATGGTCAACAATGTGGATGGAGCTGGAAGGGATAATGCTAAGCAAACAAGTCAGAAAGAAAAAGGCCAGTATTGCCTGGTTTCACTTATATGTAGTATATAGAAGAAAAAAACATGGGGTAGTCAAAGCCAAGCCTGTAACAAACCCTAGAAATCTCTGTGTAGAATTAAGACTACCAGAGGGATGGGGAAGAATGGAAAACAAAATGTGGCAGGGACCCAATAGACTATGGTGGAGGATTTGGCTCCCTTCGTGATGGGTGTCATACCATACATTTGAAGTGGGGGTGATCCTATACTTTGAATTACATACAGTGTGGCAAACCAATGTTACCTCAAAATTAAAAAAGTACTGCACTTTTAAAATAAAGGAGAGAAAGGAAAGTTGGGTTATATCCTCCAAGGAACAAGGATCAGATTGGCATCTGATAGCTGTAACTCCCGTAAAGTAGAAGAAAATGAAAATACTTTACCCCAATAACATAGGAAAAAGGTTTAGACCTAATTTGCATATGTAAGCAATTCAGAAATGAGGGCAAAGTAATGTTTTAGGCTTGCATGAATTTCGAGTTTGCATTTCTGTACCCTTTGTGATTCACCAAAGGATGTAGCTTGAAAGGCAAAATGTACATGAAAAGATAAAATGTTAAGCAAGAACCAGCAAAAATTCTTGTTTGTTTCTGAATAAGGCAGTGTTAAAGGAATGTCTTAAAACTAGTAGCAAAATGAAAAATAACAATTTGGAACAAGAACTTTGAAATTCAGCTGTAAGTTGAAAGTGGCCATAAGGGGTTATCATGGGCTGCTTTTAAAACATTTCTTGTTCAAGAATTTGTTTTTATTCTTGCTTGGTTTGGGGAATGCAAAGTATAGGTTTTTTACTAGTTGTAGGTTTAGTAGAAAAAAATAAGTTCAAGTATGATTTGAAAGTCAGAGGTGATTGCTGTCAGGGTAGAAATCAGACACATAGTCTCTATTAGAAGCTTTATTTGGTACAAAGAAAGCTCATTCATCCTGGCCACACAGATGAAAGAAGAAGGTGAGAAGTGAAACAAAAGTGTTGCAAGTAGAAACAGTTTTTAGAATAAGAATGGGGGGCCTCCCTGGTGGTGTCAGCGGTTGAGCATGGCAGCTGTGAAGCTGCCCACAGCCTCTGCAGAGCTGGTTGTGGCGCAGCAGACCTCTCCTGTGCCCGCTGCTCCCCTCAGCAGTGTATTTCGTCAGTCTGCCTGTTGTGTTCCCCGCTGTCTCTGGTGAATCCTCTCATCCTCCCGCACATCTGGCTTGTATCCTGGTTCTTGTATGAATAAATTAATCTTTAAAAAAAAGAAAAGAAATGGGGAGATTAAATAGATATTAAAAAAAAAAAAGAATAAGACTGGGGAAGGGTACCTGGGAATCATTAAAATTCTCTTAAAGAAGGTGAGAATGTACCCACATAGCAGGAAGGATTGCATGTCTTCAGAATTAAAGGATGCAGGAAGCACTTGAAAAGGGACTGACCAGCTGTAGACTCTTGGGCCATTCAGAAGTGGGAGGAATCCTGTGTACCCCTGGAGTGACTAGGAAGAAAAGTGGGGCACCCCCCCCCCACAGAGACGTGGTACAGAACAGCGACACTCAGCGGTGTCAGAAGCATGAAGATGGCAACTCTGAGTCGTAGGTACCCCTTCTGCTATCATTGGCTGAGTTGATGCTGGTTTTGATGAGAATCGAAGCCACTGTCATGCTTGCGAATCTGGGATAGACGTTTTCTGGCTGTAGGCAGTATTCTCCAGAGGAACAGAGTCAGTATTTGTGTGTATCTGTGTGTTTGCGTGTGCACACGTCTGTGTGTGTGCATGGGATTGGGGAGACTGAGGGGAGGATTGCAGACAGGAATGAACTCCTGCAGTGCAGTCAGAAGGCAGACTTCCCTCTTCCTGAGGGGAGAGCCCGGTTTTCCTTAAGGCCTTTTTTGAAACTTGTTCTGTAACTTCTTTAAGAAGTGCCTGTGAGAACAGCATTCTCTGAGTCTTACATGCTGCCAGTCTTATCTGTGCCTTTTACTTGACTCTCACTTTGTTTTCTGAGAAACTTCCCCTCCATTGTCTGTGGCACATCACATCCTGATCTTAGACGTGATGTAGTCCTTTCACCCAGATGCCCAAGATATGTGTCTTAGTGGCATCAGTCTGAGTCAGTTTTCCCAGGGATGCATTTGTATGTTTAAGTCTTTCAGGAAGGTTTTTTGGAATTATTTTAGTGTTCTTTTCTGTTGCTTTGAATTTTATTTTTAGGTAATTCTGTCAGAAAGTAATTGGAATTTTCTCTCCATCACCACCTCTTCATTAATTCTGCCCTGCTGTCTCCTCACCATCTATTTCCTGCGTGGCTCCTCACATTCCTCTACTTCAGTCTTCATTTCTGAAAAGGATTCCCCTTGTTCCTTGTTTCCTGACTTTTCTCTTGGGCTCATCCTGTTCGTGTTTCTGTTGTGAATCCTCTTTTGTGGTCGCTGAGCAGTGTTGGGCACTGGTTCTATCCACCTCAAGAGCATGCTTGGGGTCAGCCCCCCACCAACCAACGACAGCATCCTTCTGAGGGTCACCTTGATGTTTTGTGTCATGACCGCCCCCTGCTCCACTGGAGGCCTCTCTGTGTAAGGCAGCTCCACACTTTTCCTGTGACATATTTGAACGTACCTTCCATCACACTTTTCCACAATCAGCCTGGCACTGTCTGATGCTCATCTTCTTTCATCCCACGGGTCACCACTTAAGTCGGACTTTATTCTTAGCAGTGTGTCCTCAGGAGGGGTTCCTGCTCTCCTGATGGTCTTTCCCTGTTTTCCTGCCTGAACTTTCACTGACTTGTTTTTCTCCATGTGGTGTCTCCACCTCCCTTAAGCAAAGGCAAGGACCTACCTAGCTAACTCACGGCTTCCTGCAGTTGCCCTTGTGCTTTGTATTAACCTGTGCCTTTGCCCACTCAGTTTACCAACCGCTGTATTTAAAATATGTACGACTATAGTTAAAATATAAGAACCTACAATAAATTGGTTTTTTTTTTTAGTTTATGTTCGTTACTTCTATTCGTGTTGTACCAATTGAGAGCTTTATGTCCATGAAACTGAGAAGGAATTCTTTTCTGCTCTCTTAGTTTTTCATTCTTGGCTTATAGCAGTTTTCACATGCCAGCTTGGCTTTGGCCTCTGGTTTGCTGTCAATCTAGGTCTTGTCCCTTGTCTTTACATTTCTAGGTAAAACAAAGTTTTTTTTCCTGACATTAAGAGCCCGGTTTATTACTTGTAAATATTGTATGTCGATTTTCCAATTGTTAACAATCCAGAAAGAATATAGTTTGGTGTTATTTTTTAGTGTTACATTAAGTATTTGCCACAGATTTAATTGGTTAACTAAGGTGTTGTGTTTTTAGAATAGTAACAATGGTATAATACATAGATATAACCCAGCCTGGACTACAGGTTAAGAAAAGGTAAATGTCTAGTTGATACTTATTAAAACCCATGGGGGCAGAATTATGTGGGCATCAGAATGGGTGAAATCAATAGTTGCACATTTCATTTTGACTGAAAAGCATTCATATTATATAAAGGTCTGTGCATGTGTGAAGATTCCTACGGTCAGAGCATTACTTTCATTATCCTGGATAATTGTGAATTAAATTAAAGGAAACTCAGCTGCAAAAAACTGATGCTTAAATATTAGGGTTTCTGTCGTTATTGACCCATGGTGTTTTTCTGCCTGTCCATAGTTGGGGTACACAGGAAGCTTCTGCTGCTAAAAGTGTACATACCACAGTGATAGAGAAGGGGCCCACTGTGTGCCCCTGTTGCACGCCTATGGGAATAGAAAGCATACCCAGAGCCACCTGGGTCTGGAGGGAGGCAGAGTTAGCTAGCATGGGACTCTGGATGACCTGTAGTGAGACTTGAGCTAGCAATGGTTGTGTTGGATCTAGGAGTGTGCATACTTTGAGATGATACCTTACGTGTGTGTATGTGTGAATACAGAAAACATCGGAGCAGTGTGGGGCCAAGCAAACCTGTTTCCCAGCCCCGGCGGAACATCGTAGGCTGCAGGATTCAGCATGGGTGGAAAGAGGGGAATGGCCCTGTTACACAGTGGAAAGGAACCGTTCTGGACCAGGTGCCTGTAAATCCTTCTTTGTATCTTATAAAATACGATGGATTTGACTGTGTTTATGGACTAGAACTTAATAAAGATGAAAGAGTTTCTGCGCTTGAAGTCCTCCCTGATAGAGTTGGTAAGTTCTTTTTACTACTTGTGTGTTACATGCTTTATAAATGATTATTGAAATGGATGCTTTTTGATTTTTCTTCTGTATTATTGGTATATTTGTTTTTATTGGTGTGTAAGCAGTCCTGATACACATTTAAATTTGTTACCTCTAGTCACAAAAATTGATCAGCAGACCTTCTAAAATCACAATCTAAGGTACTGTCCTGGATATAAAGATGTATAAAGTTATTTCTCAAGAAGATTACAATCTAATAAATGCTAACATAATTTCTAACATTTTGAGAACTATTTATTTGGAGTCTTATGGGTAAGAACATTACTAGTTCATGTATCCTATACTTAATTTTAGTCCATCAGTTTATAATGATTAAGGAAAATTGTAGTTATTTAGTTTAGAATCTTTATGTGAAGTGTATCTTTTATTGTGTATTATTACATAAATTATACTTTCAGCCATAATTTAAGCAACCAAAATGTGTGAACTTTGTTATCCATTCCTTAGGGTTTGTTTGCACAATGTTTGTAAAAATGAGTGCCTCTTTTTATCAAATGTCATAAGGTACTTGCATAACTTACATGCCTTAAGGCATAATGTTTCTGTTTAATTATGACTGATTTTATCTTTAAGAATAAAATAAAATCAAGATCAGTAGGATACACCCAAATTAGTGTTTTTTCATCTTTAAAGTGTTTACTCTGAAATGTTTTAGTGTTATAATTACAGTGTTATTGGCTTGAATTCTGGTTTATGAAAGTAAAAAATGCAGTCTCAGTAGAATGGAGAATGGAGAAGGGTAGAGATGTGGCGTCTCCTTGCCAGGGGAAGAAGCTCTTGTCAGGCTCCCCTCCTCACCTTGTTTTTGTCCCGTGTTCTTGAGACACATGTGCTTCTTAGCAGGTAATTCTTTGCCAGGGCACCACATTTTTTTGATCTGTCTTCCCTTTAGATATCAAGTATTAAGTCTGTATTCATCCTGTAATAAACATAGTTCTTTTATCCATTCTGAGTGTCTAAAACAGCTTGTTCAGACCTGCAGTCTGTTTCCCACGTAGGAAACTAGTGTTGGAGAGTCCTACTTTAAGGGCTGAAAAAAATACCGTCCAAACCTTTTTATCAGTGTTTATGCTAAATAATTCTGCATTCTCGTTCAGGCCCTGAATTTTGGTCTCCATTCTTTCTAGGGTAAAACTGTAAGCTCATTTGGAAATTTTGCTCCAGGACCTGTTTTAGTCCATTCTTTCATTATCCTAGGAAAGAAAAAAAAATTTTTTTTGTGCTGATAGAGAAATGATTTGACCAAACCAAAATAATTTAGAAATACAGAAGTTTCTTTGGTGGTAGGATTAAAGATTACTTAGTGTTTTTCTTTCTGGTTTTGGGTCATCTCATTTCCAACCGTAGGCATAGACTGCTGCTGTAAACAGTGGAGCAACTTAAAAAAGGAAACCCAAAGGCTTCTGCAGACCTCCAGTATGTCATGCACCTAATTTCATGAGTAGTTAATTTTATGACTCCCTGTGATGCTTGTGTCTGAAAGAGTATTTGGCGTTCATTTATGTTCCATGTAGGAAGAAAAGTCTTTCCTAATTTGTTTCATGCAGTAATAGTTATAATTTTGTTGTAGTTAAGCTAAAGGTGGGGAAAAGTCAGTCACCCTGAAAGCATGTGATGGTTCCCAAAGTGTGGTCTAGGAACCCTTGAGATTCCTCAAGCCCATTTGTCTTCAAGAGGTTTGTGGAGGTCAACATTATTTTCCTGATTAAGATGGGATTTCTTTGTTCACTCTTACACTGGAGTTCACTGTTTGGAAAATCTGCATAACGTAGTGAATACAGTATTCTCGTATGAGCAGTACCTGGTGTTTCCAAATCATGAATTGGTATTAGATCCATTCATAGACTGACATTTTTTTTTTTTAAAGACTGAGTTTTTGTTTTAAAGTGGTAAAAACACATAACAGAAAACATATTAACTTAGCCATTTTTTTAAGTGTACATTTCAGTAATGTTAAGTATGTTCATATTGGTATGAAACAAATCTCCAGAACTTTTTCATTTTGCAAATGTATAACTCTATCCCCATAAAACTCCCTGATTTCTCCTCCCTCCATAAGGGGAATATTTTTGTTAATGGCTTCTTTCTCTTAATATTGTGGCCTCAAGATTCATCCACGTTGTAGCATGTGTCAGAATTTCCTTCTTTTTTAAGACTGAAAATATTCTATTGTATGTGTAGACCACATTTTGTTTATCCATTCATCCTTCCATGGGCACTTGACTTGTTCCATCTTTCATTATATCTTTGGTGCTAATGAGCAGTGCTGCAATTAAGCAGCAGCTAACTCCTCCGGACCCTGCTTTCAGTTCTTTTGGGTTTATGCCAACCAGTAGAATCACTTATCTTGTGAAGTTCTGTTTTTAATTTTCTGAGGAGCCTCCATACTGTTTTCTGTAGTGAATGTATCATTTTACAATCCTCCCAGTGGTGTACAAGGGCTCCAATTTCTCTGCATTCTCACCAATACTCTTCCTTTCTTTTGTTGTGTGGTTTTTTTTTTTTTTCCTTTTGTTTTTCATAGTGGCCTTCCTAATGGGTGTAAGGTTATATGTCATTGTGGTTTTGATTTGCATTTCCCTTGTGACTGGGGGTATTGAGTACCTTAGCGTGTGCCTTTTGGCTATTTGTATGTCATAGTAGCAGAAATGTCTATTCAAGTCCTTTTCTTATTTTTTGATTGAATTATTTTATCTTATTTTTACTGAGTTATAACAGTTTGTTTTTTGTGTATTCCAGAGACAAATTTTATTTTTAACAATATGACACTTTTACTATTAATGGCTTCAGATGCAACATTGCTGTTAAACTTTCAGGGCAGTTGCCATTTGTTCAGTTTTGATGTAGTGTCAGAATATCTAGAAAGATTTTAAAAGATGAATTTAATACTCCTTTTCAATACCATGTAGTTTGTGAGGCTAGATTTTACACACTGACCAAAAGTACATAGAGCACATCTAATGCTGAAATACATAGGGGAATCTAGTTGTCCTTTTTAAGACAACTTAAGACATTAAGACAATTATAAAAATGTAAAATTATGCCAATCCTCGACTAAATTTTTCTTACAAGATAAAGGTATTTTTCACTAATAATACATTGTTTATATAGGCATTTTAAAATACATATTTTTAGTTTTATCACTTAGAGTTTCTGAAATAATAGTTAGAATCCAACCTAAAAGCTCTTTTAAGTTCTCTAAAATTTTTAATGATGTAAAGGAGTCCTGAGATCAGAAAGTTTGAGAACTTCTGGTATGAAAAAAACCAGTGGGATTTTGTTTTATTGTCATGCACTATGGGAAGGTCTACATGTTTTTTTTTTTTTTGACAATAATTGCATACTTAGGCAAAGTAAAGTATCATATGTGTATGAAGTCTGCTAATGTTTAAATTGGAAAGCAGTTTCTTTACCAAGAAATTTTAATCTTTCTCGCTTTGAATTTTTTAAAGCAGAAATAGAAACACTTATGAATGAGTAAAATAGAAGTGCTAATTTTTTGTCAAGTACCTAAAAGTTGAGGACTAGAGAAACCTTAAAATTGGTAGGATTTGGGCCTCCCCGGTGGCGCAGCGGTTGAGCACTGGACTGCAAAGCTGCCCGCAGCCTCTGCAGTGCCGGTTCCATCCCTGGCCACCTGGCGAGGGTCCCACATGGCGCGCAGACCTCACCTGCCGCCTCCCCTCAGCATTGTACTTCAGTCCTTCTGCCTCTTCTGCTCCCAGCTCTGGCTCTGGTGAATTCTCTCATCCTCCCATGCTTCTGACTGTCCCCAGTGCTTGAATGAATGAATGAATGAATAAATAAATCTGTTTAAAAAATTGGTAGGATCCTCCATAATTTCCCCAGTATTTTAAAAAAAACAAAAACAAAACACTAAATGAAGCTTGTAATTTTCCACTTACTACTTGAAGAATAGAGTCAGGTTGCAATGGATGAGGGCTCTGGGCAGACCTCTTTGCTCTGAAATTACTTATTCATACAGCAAATATTGAACTATTTAAGTTTTAGAAACTAGGCAGGAAAGGTCTCTGCTTTCATCACAGGCTAAAAGCAAGTAAGTAGCTTAGCTGGTAATGGTAAATATCAGTAAGAAATACTGTGAGGCCTCTGTGGTTGGTGACTCCACTTTGACCTGATGATCACAGAGAGCCTGGCAGAGCCAGCCATGAAGATGTGGGTCTAGGCATGATGGAGAGAAGCAGAAGAGTTCCAAGAGCAGAGAGACTGTGTGTCTAAGGAGGGACACAACAGGAGGACCTCATGTTCTGTGGGCAGTTTGTTGAAAGGAAGCCCTGGAGCACTGTAAGCAAGCAGCCAACCCAATCTGTGTGACTGCCCCAGGTCACACTGGTCACTGAGAAAAATATATGGTCAGAGCAGGAGTGAAAATTTGTGTCTCAAATAGCTGAATTTCTTAGTTTTTATAAAACAGTCTATGGTTCCATAAGATGTTGATACAAAGGGGAAGGTGAGTGAAAGGTATGGGAATGCTACTATTTTCACATTTCCTTTGCAAGTCTAAAATTATCTCCAAATTAAAAATAATTAGCTATTAAATAATAGCAACAAACGCTTTATACCTTGATGGAATAATTAAGAGTTCTAATTTAGATATAGTACCAAGAGCAGATAAGTTTGGAAAAATAGAAATAAAAACCAGAATTTGTCTTATTGACTTTAAATGAAATCAAATCTGGTCTTGACCCAACATGTGTGTGTTAGGTGGTTGTACTTCTCAAAGCCATTCAGTTGACTCTGTTGCCTTGCTAGTATGTCAGGTGGATACAACTCCTGATAGTTCCCTTAGTAAGTTGAGTTCATCACAGTAAGCATTTTCTAGAACACTTCAGAAACCATTGTTTATTTTTATATCCAGCAACATCTCGAATCAGCGATGCACACCTAGCAGACACGATGATTGGTAAGGCTGTGGAGCACATGTTTGAGACGGAGGATGGTTCTAAAGACGAGTGGAGGGGAATGGTGTTAGCACGTGCACCGATAATGAACACGTGGTTTTACATTACCTATGAGAAAGATCCTGTCTTGTACATGTACCAGCTCTTAGATGATTATAAAGAAGGCGACCTTCGCATTATGCCTGATTCCAGTAAGTATATATTGACAACTTTTTTTTAGATGATTTAAAAAGGAAGTCAAATTTTAGGACAAGATTAATTTCATTAACTATTTTGTATCAGAGACACTTAAACTTTTTGTTTGGCATATGTAATTATTTTAGGCATGTGCCAAAAGTAGGCTGTGAAAATTTTCACCCCTTTCCCAAGAATAATTTAATTTCTGTGCAGATGTCCCTGCACAGCTGAACTTTGATCTCACACGAATGGACTTTCTAACATGAAGTCCTTTGTGACTGTTCTTTCACGTGGCATAATGGAGCATCATATTTTTCAAGGTTTGTCTGTCATAGCGTGTGTCTGGGGTTCATTCCCTTTTGATGGCAAAGATAGACCACGTTATGTTTATCTACTCGTGTTGATGGATATTAGGTGGTTTCTACCATTTTATATGAATAATGCTGCTGTGAACCTTTTAAAGCGCACATTTCTGGGTGGACATTTGTTTTCATTTCTCTTGGGTATATACCTAGGAGTGAAATGGATGGGTCGTAGTGGTCACTCTGGCTTTAATCATTTAGGGAACTACCGCCAGACCAATTTCAGTCATCATCAGTGTTATTCTGAAGGTTCTGATTGCTCCACATTCCCACCAGCACCTGTTGTTGGGTGTGAGGTCATGTCTCAGTGTGTTTTCAATGTGCATTGCCCTGGTGACTAAAGATGTCGGGCACCTTTTCCTGTGTTAGTAACTTTGTATGTCTTCTTGGGAGGTGTCTATCCAGATTCTTTCCTTGCTTTTCAGTTGGGTTGTCTTCATCACTAAGATATCAAGAGTCCGTATTCTAGTACAAGTCCTTGTCAATTCTGTGATATGTAGATCACATTCATTTGTAAGTTGTCGTCACTTTCTTGACAGTGTCCATTAAACTACAAAAGTATTTAATTTTGATGAGCCCAATTTATCTGTGGTTTTTGTTGTTGTTGTTGCTTGTGGTTTTGGTATAACTTCTAATAATTTCTTGCCACAGCCAAGGTTATGAAGATATTTACTTGTCATATACTCTTAGTTCTTACACTTAGATCTTTATGATGTGGGGTAAGGATTCACCTTTATTATTTTGTACCTGACAGTCAGTTGTCTGCGCATCATTTGTTGAAAAGACTGTTCTTTGCCCTCTCGAGTGGTTTTTGGCACCTCTGTTGAAAACCAGTTGACTGTAGGCATGTGACTGTAGAAGGACTGTCCTTCTGTTTGTGGTCATGCCAGTGCCACAGTGCATTGGCGGTACATTGCTTTGTAGTAAGTTTTGAAATTGGTAAGTATGAACCTTCCTGCTTTGTTCTTTTTTTAGAATTGTTTGGCAGTTCTGTGTCCCTGGCAGTTCCACATGCATTTTGGAATCAGCTTGTCACTTTCTGGAAAGCAGTCAGCTGATACTCTGGGAGGGACTGTATTGAATCTTCATATCAGTTTAAGAAGTATCTTCAGATCCATGAGCATGGGATATGTGTCCATTTATTGATATTTTATTACTAAGTATTTTATTCTTTTTGATGTTCTTGTGAATAGTATTCCTTTTCAAAATTCATCTTTGGGTGAGTCTGTTCTTTTCCAAATCAGTTCTCATAACCTTTCCTCTAACACGTGGATGCCTCACTTTGGACAGGTGTGATCTTGTGGACACTTGATATTACAGACACTTTGCTGTTCTTTTCTTTAAAAGATTTTCCTGTGAATAAGCCAGTCACTATGGATATGCCGATGTACTTTTCGGAGCCTGACTTTCTTAAACCTTGTTAGAATGTTTTTTAAATATATGTATTTGCATAATGGGAATTATATAAATGGGATTTAATGAGAGGAGTACTCAAAATAAGTCGATAAGGCAATAGGAAGTGCTATCTTGTGTTTGGAATTCCTTGGAAATGGTAAAGTGCCACAAAAACTTGGCAGTGTGCTGTTGCTGCTGCTGAGGGAAGGGGAGCTTTGAAGAAAAAGAATTGCGGTCAGGTTTCCTCTTCATTTCCCATAGAGAGAGGAATTCCATCACGCTTGGGTGTTTTGTTTGTGTCGGCTGTGACTGTTGTACAGACATCAGACTGTAGGGTTCGAATTGTGTCCTTCAGTGAGAGAATTTATTGTAACATAAATATTAAACATGGTCCAAACTTGGACACATGTGGGAATGTGAAGTGGTGTATAGTTAACAGTTGTCATAAATGAGCTGAACTGTCTTGGGCACATCAGGCACCTGGACTCGGTTGCCCTGCCTCATGCCCCCCTCTCCTGTCCTGGGGAAAAAGCTGAAGGCCTTCAGAACTGTAATGGCTTCTCCAGATAGGATTATAGTTGCCTCTCTCTTCCCCGTTCTCTTCACTTCTCCCTGTCATTGATTACAGTGGTTTTGTGTCACTTCATGTGTATTCCTAGAACTTACAGAACTTGTAGGATATCAGACAGTGCTTTCTAGGACTCAGGGCTTCCAGGACGCAGGTGCCTAAGCCTCTTCAGGATCTGTGTGATCCATCTGGGGTGCAGTTCACTGAGCACCTGTTTCTAAAGCATGGTGAATTGAAACCTCTTTTAAATTGAAATTGAATTAGGAAGACGGTGTGTAATGCAATGAAGTTGAGGAAAAGGAAACTTTCAGGATTCACAAAGTAAGACCAAGAATATGTAGGCATTGTAAGTGTAGCATATTCTCAATAATCCCTGTGGGTTGTCAGCTTTGAAATCGTCAAAGTAACTCAGACTTAATTTTTTAGACGTTATATGATTGTCTACATTTTTCTCCTTGGGTAATTGCAGCTATTATTAAATGTGAGCCAAAGATATTTTAGGTTATCATTTTTAAAATGTTTTACATGTCTAGATCTAGGGTGTCAGCAAGCTACTTTTGTAAATAGAGTTTTATTGGCACACAGCCCCACCCATTCCTCTGTGCAGGTCTCCGCTGTTCCTGCTGTCCTGGCAGAGCCAAGTCATTAGGACAGAGGCCTGCAAACCTGACGTGTTTATTGTCTGACCATTGAATAAAAAGCTTCTGGCTTTTGGTTTAAATCAAGATGAATTCAGGATAAGAAAATTTTTTAAGTTATTCAAATAGACATGCAAGTTGGCATTTATTTAAAAATTGACTTTAAATTATTATTTCCCCCCTTTTAATACAGATGATTCACCTCCAGCAGAAAGGGAACCAGGAGAAGTTGTGGACAGCCTGGTAGGCAAACAAGTGGAATATGCCAAAGAAGACGGCTCTAAAAGGACTGGCATGGTCATCCATCAAGTGGAAGCCAAACCGTCTGTCTACTTCATCAAGTTTGATGATGATTTCCATATCTATGTCTACGATTTGGTGAAAACATCCTAGATGTCATCACGAACTTTGCCAAATTTGTGGAACTATTAAATGTATAATTTGTAGACATAAAGACTTGATTGCTTTCCAGTTTAATGAAAGCTTAAATGTCCCTGCGAACCCACAATCTCTGCAGCAGAACTGGTTTGGTTCTGACTAGTACAGATTTATGTGAACACAGAGCATTTTGTGTAAGGAACTCCTTCCTCTTAAAAGAAGTCTGTTTGGAGGGGAGTTACAGGCAAGTTTGGTAAAAGTTCAGCTAGTATCTATCATACATTTAAATCTAATAGATCTTGTCCATCTTCCCCTTCACTTTAACACTCTTACTCTGCTGCCACAATGCAAGCATAGTTTGGTATTTTTGTTACTGCCTTTTTTGAGATATATATGTATCTATATCTACCTATCTTATCTATAGGTCTGTGTGTATACATATGTAATATATCTATACACACACAGATCTGTGTGTACACACACACAAGCACACACCATTGGCAGTCCTTTCTTTGTGGATTGGAACAGGGGTTAAATAATTATCTCCAGTTTAACAGGAGTGCTTTACCCAAGTTAGTCATATTTGCTATTACTACTGCTGTTTATTAAAAAATTAAGTTTGGGCACATAGTGACGGTCAGCTTGTTTTGAAAGTCAAGTTCAGAGCACCTTTTCAACCTGGAGACTTTAAACCATAGGTCCAAATATGAATCACTTGTGAACAGTTAATAACCCACATCAAAATTTTACAGAAACAGCTGGAAATCTGGATAAAAGGCTGCCTTTAGTTTTACACTTTGTAAATTTTTTTTGTTTACTTTTTTTTTTTTATCATCTTTTTTTTTTTTTTTTTTGCAAAGCCCAGGTACTTGGTCCACACAGTGTAATGCAGGTGTATTTTGGACGGCACATTGGTCCATTATTTGTACAAATCGGCCATCTGGATTTTAGTACATGGATTTCAAAGGCAACTGTACATCAGTGGTTTGTGTGCATGTGGTAAGTTCCTGGAAGAACATTATTCTTTTATGTTAGGTATGTAATTTCAAGAATGGCATTGTTGCCTTCTAACGCGTTTTCTGGGATACTTTTGTTTTCATCATCATCGACATGATTATGGTCAGAAGAACCTCCCCTATTATCTCCCATGCCTCACTCCGCCCTCCACCCTCCCAACTCCCACCTCAGACTTTGTCCACAAAGAATATCTGGACAAATAACAGCTGAAATCGCTCAACACCTTTTGCGGTGCTGTCTGTTCTTCTGGTTTGCTATTGACATGAATCATTGCATCAGTGGACACTACCGCCAGGGTCTGTTACCCCAGCTAGTTTGTGGGTATAACATACAGCAGCCCTTAGCCACAGAATCCTGTCCTGGCTTATCCCTGCCCACAAGGTGGTTTTAACTGAAACACAACTGCAAACATGGTTGGTTTAGCAATTAAATGACCTTTGAACACTGTTTTGGATGCGCCCTGGCAGTTTGAGGCTAGGGCAAAAGCAATATGTGGAACTCGTCTCTTGTGGAGATAGCAATCTTTCCCCAGATTTGGGCAGAAGACTGTCAGAAACTCCAAAGTTTGGGTCAGAGGTCTGTGCGACCTGGCATGGCTAACCCACTGTTACAGCTGTGTTTTCAAGACCTTGCCTCCCTGTGGTTGACTGGCTACCTATTTTGCCTTCAAGAAGGTGTGTACCTTGTATGGTTGGAAGGTGACCTCTAATACACACCCTCTGTTCTCTGTATTGCGCAGGCAGACAAGTTGCTCTGTACGATGGTATCCAGTTCTAGGCACCTTCACCCCACACCCACAGGTGCTGCACCTGTTGTCCTAGTGGCTCATGTAGGAATCCCTCCCTGCATGTGAATCTCAAGGCCGAGCCCACACTATTGCCCCAGTGAACACGTGCCCTGAGCGTGAGTGTGTCCAGTGTGAGCGCACAGACACTGCACAGTGACGTCGGGCCAAAAATCAAAGTCCTTTGGAATCATCCTGAGGGTTGGGTCAGCTGATAAATTTCCAGCATTACTTAGCAACTTACATTGTGGTCTTTTTGCAAGTAAATTTAGCAACTTTAATACCACACAATATGCCACTCTCTGAATGTGACGTGATTATTATTATTTCATTATTTTAACCATTGTTCCATTTATTGCCTTCAGGGCTGAAGGAAGGGGAAGGGTTTTTTTGGGGGAGGTTGTTCTTCCTTTTTTTTTTTTGCCTTTTTTTTTTTTTCGGTGACTTAAACCACATTTAGTGGCACTTGTGACTTTTCTGCTCCCTAGCCAAGTATTTCAGACTTCGTTTTAGGCTCATATTTCAGATCTGCATGCACTGCTTGCCTCTTCCTGGTATCTGAATGTTGGGTCCTTGTTCTAGGAATCCAACATTAATTTCCAAAATTATCATGGGACTTGTGACAACACAAGACATGACTCTGTATAAAATGTATCGGCCTTCCTCATTGACCTGCTATAGTATTATCGTGTCGTGTGTGTGTATGTGTGTGTATGTGTGTGTGTGTGTGTGTGTGTGTGTGTGACGTCTGGCTGCCACGGGAAGCTTCAAAGGAAAACCTTAAAAGCAGACCATCCTTTTTTGCATGCTATATTCTAAGTAGAATGTTCAATGTAACTAATTAAAACTGCATGTGAAAGGTATTTAGGTTTTTTGTTTTCTATCTTTGTTTTTATTTGTTTTCAGTTTTCTGTATATTTGCTTACTGTGCTGTTTTAGTGGTTGTAGGATAAAAAAATGCACTGGTGAAGCAAATGTAGTGCTGGCAGAAGGTGATTTCCAGTTGTGTATGTCTCGCAGCATTCGAAGGGACTGTGCATTCTTAAACAATCACAGTTCTGAACCAGATTTCATTTCTATTGTCCTTTTTTGTGCCAAACCCCAAAGTGCATTGGGCTTGAATCTCTGAACGCTGCGGACCCATTAGAAGACTGTTTTGATTGTCACAAATTGTAGTGCCTGAAACATTCTTAAGCTGATTGTCTTAAAAAAAACAAACAAAAAAGAAAGTTCTCCAAAGACAAAACAGGAACAATTCTTATAACAGAAAACAATTTTGGTCAAAATGTCTGTGGTTCCTTGGAAATGCTGCGCTCTTTGTATTTTCCATCTTTAGTGCAGTTTGAATGAATGTGTAGACTTCAGAGGTCTTCGTGTTCGCATTTAAAATTAGGTAAATGACCTCATCTTTCAAGCTTGAATTCATTTTTGATTTTAATTTTATTTTATACAATGTGTAGACAGTTCCCTGTTCTCTGCATTTAGAAGTATAAACAATATAAATCTGTTAATTCTGTAAGTAATTTTTATAATTATGATGTAACTCTATCCTATCCTTAAAACATTTAAAATAAACCCTTTATGTGCAACTTTTGACTGTAAATTTTGTGCTCATGAGCAAAATGTGATGTGTTAAGTTTCTGGAAAAAATTTTTAAAGTTTTATTTTACTATTTTAAGTTATCTACCCCCCCCCTTTTTTTCCACCGCATGTAAATGTCAGATATAGGTAGGAACAGAAAGAAATGGAACTTTTATTTGAATGATAATGTAATACCGTGAAGGAGAGGGGCAAGAAATCAATAGCCAAATATATCATCCAAAATATTAAAGTTTGTGATTTGCCTTTAATAGGAAATACTAATTTACAAAACTCTAAACTTTGTTTTAAATAGAATTAAATATGTGTATTTTATACTTTGCATCAATTCTCACTTTGTATGTTGTCTGTGATGCTTCTCTTAATGCTTCATTGCTCGTCATTGAGGTTCTGTTTTTGAAAAGTCTCCACTCCCCTTGGTGTCAGGGCGGAGATATAGAGGCTGTCGTGACCTATGTGTGCTGCTGCTGCTTCCTGGTCATTTTAATTAGGAGAGATTATTATGTGTCTTTTAATTAGACTTGTTGTATGTTTCCTGTTGAGATAGGCTAATGATCTCGTAGTCAGGCCAGGGGGTAGCTGAGGCAGATGTGTTCTGGGGTTGCTGCAAAGACCCAGGTGATAGGAGGCGAAGCTGGGGAGCCTCCCAACTCTGTTGGGAGGAGGGAGACCAAGTCCCGGAGATAAACCTGTGGTCGCACAGGCACACCCCAGGCTTCGTCTTACCATCTTTTTCCTAAGGCATCGAAGATACAGCTCAGTTAACAGTGCAAAGCAGTGTGGTGAGTGTCCAGGATTGTAGGGGGCGGGGAATTGGGTCCATAGCAGGTTCCCAGCTGCTGTGGTAAGGTAACATTGCAGGATTCATTTACTTCAATGAGGAACAGAGTAATCTAGTAATTTCCAGGCATCTTTTTTGTAAGATCATTTCATAACTTGATAGCAAAAATTGTTCTTATTTCTATACTGCCTAATAAAAGTTCCTTTGAATGTAGGAATCATATGTCTGTGTAGTAGGAATTAGAATCCAGAATTATCTTTTTTCTGGAAAAATAATGTATTTTGGAGAGAAAATATGCTGAAGAAATTTAAGTGATCTTCCATTACAAGAATAGATACTATTTTATATCTCAAAGACATCTAAACATGTCATTAAATTTACATTTCTTAAGAACCTGGGTTTCTTATGCCCATGGCATACAATGTCACATCTAATTTGTACAATAATTGATTTGGCCTACGCTGTACTTTGTAAGTGTTTAGGCTGCCAAATTTCAGAGAATTAGACAAGTCATTTAATTATTTCTGAGACATTCTGCCCTTATATTGGCCAGAAAATTAAGTTTTGATAGCCTAAGTGACAGATGGTTTTTAATATTGCCTCGGCACGTCATTTTTGTCTAAAATGGTATTATATTTTTCTTGCTTAGTTTTTATTTGAGGCCAGGCTACCAGGCAGTGTGGTGATCCTGCCAGCTCTGGTGTTGGTGGCATGCAGTGCAGGCCCTTTTCAAGTGTCTTTCTACTACAGCGGTGATGGTGGGTGAGTAGCCTGGACTCTGTGATGTAGGTGAATCCTTGCCTCCGCTTTCATCCTCCTCCTTCATTACTTTCAGCATATGCTTTGGAAATTCATGCTCTGTGGGAGCATAAGAGATTGAGGTAACCTGTGAGCTACCTAAAATCCTTTGTAGGATAGAACCAGTACACATGCTTTAAAATTCTGTGTGCTTTATGTGGGAACCACCAAAGTGCTTTATGATGCAAAGGGACAGAAGGAAGGCCTTTGAGAAACCTTGATGTTGATACAGAGAGTCAGCACAATTCAGGGTTGAAATTTGGTGTTTGGAATTGTTTTTGCTGTAGATTTTGAAAATAGCATTAAAACTTCTGCCTTAAATTTATCACTTGAAGGATTGACATGAAATTTAATGTTTATCACCCATGTGCCATACAAGTACTCACCTATGAGGGGCTGAGGATGACCCCACTAGAAGAACAAGAGGCAGTGATTTCTGATCCCAAAAGTAGTTCTGTGTCCAGTGCTCTGTTAACTGTATATGTCTGTTCTTTTACTGGAGACCTCCTTTTAGCAAAATGTTGCTTTGAGTTGCCCTGTAATGCTGTGTAAATAGTTTTAACCTTAGGGTTTGCTGCTAAATTTTTCCGAATCTGATTTGTCACACTAGGAGGGACAAGATTGTGGTCATTTTCAGAACAGTCTTACAGGGGAGAGCTAAAAATGTGTCTGAGGAGGTAGAATCCACAGTCCAGTTGGTTTCACAATTGGAATTTCTGCTGCAGTTTGGTTCACAGGGGGGCATATCATATCAGTGCTCAGAAAACACTTTTCTGGGTAAAAATCACGTCCTGTACTGGACATCTGTTTGTTCAGTTAACACACGTTTGTAAAAAATGCAGACATAACTCAGCCATTGTCACTGTCCTTTTTTAAATAATTGATAATTATATTTCTGAAAGGGGTTATGCTCTGATTAATCAGATGCTATAGCACTGGGTGGTTGTTACTTTAATCCTCTGCTACTATGTTACTGTCCTGCTTGAACTGAGAAGCAAATAGCACAGTCAGGCAGCCTAAATAACCCAACACTTCTTTATCCCAGTCTTGGAGGCTGGGCAGCCCACATAAGGCTGTCAGCAAGGCTGGTTTCTTCTGAGGCCCTCCTTGTCTTGTTCCTGTGTCTTAACTGGTCCATGACCTGATCTCCTCCTGTTAGGACAGTCATTTGGATTAGGACCACCCTAATGACCGCATTTAATTAACTGTAATCATCTCTTTAAAGGCCCTACCTGTAAACATAGTCCCATTCTGACAGCCTGGGAATTAGGGCTCCAACACATGGATCTTAGACCCACCATTGAGTTCCTAACAACATGTTAACATGGCAGGGCATTATTATAGACACAGTCTAATTACTATTAAAATAATGCTGATGTTCTGTTTGAATTAGGGCGCCAAAAAGAGTGTTGCCTTTGTCCAGTTTGTTACCTGCTGGTGCAATCGTAGGCAAGTGATTTTGTCTTTCTGACGTACTTTCCTCATCTGCAAAGTGGGGCCATCAACCTGCAAGAGACTGGGGGCATAGTTTGCCTCTGCCTTGCCCTGGAACCTCTCACCTCCGTGCTGGTGTCCTCGGCATTGTTCCTACAGAGAGCACCTTTGCCATCCAGGCCTTGCCATGTTCTCCTTAGACTTGCTGAGCTTTGAGATCACATTCTAAGTTCTGCCATTGTCAGTTTCATTTATCATTCAGCAGCATCTGGAGAGGTGATTGTGTGTTTCAGCACCCTGGTGTCTCCCAGCATATATAAAAACTGCAACAGCCATGTTGAGTGTTGACGAGTCAGTGGCTGTTTCACAGTTTAACTGTGAGAAGTAGACTTTGAGTTTGACGTTTGTAAAGAGAGGTGCACTTCTGTTTTGTTTGTTTTCACATTGTCATAGGGATCATGATCCCTAAATTACCTTCTCAGTGATTTTGTGAAACCTGGTGATGGAACTTGCAGTGTCAGCCCACAGCCTGATGAGCGGTATTCAAGTGGCCAGACGGTGTTCCAAGCTGCTGGAGAGGGAGGCTGTGCTCCTTAAACCAAAGGAGGCTTGTGTGCAATGAAATGTAGCTGTTGTGTAGAACATGAAAGTAATTCTCACTCATCATTTCCACCATTGCACCTTGATGTACTGTGCATGCAATTACTCCCTCTTCTTTTCTAATATAATTTGAAATTGGTTCTTTTTTGGAAGAGTTTTAAAAGTTGATTGTTTTTCTAGGGGTGAAAAATTTCAGTTGTTAAAATTCACTTTAGTTTTTGATACTCCATCATTAATTAAATTTCTGGTCTCAGTATTTAACACGTGTCCCTAAACTCTAATTGAAGCTAGCTGCTTTATTTAAATTACAGTAGAATCTCACTCTGTTTTAATGTGTGTGCAAGAGAAAAAACTATCAAGACTGCCAGAAAATGGTGACCTGTTCTTTCTTCACGTCTCAAAAATAGCAGGGGGGCAAGGGGGCAGACTCATGTGTTTTCAACTTTCTGGGAAAGTGATGGTAGTGGGTCTCCTTAGAAGGAAATTAGAGTTTTGTGGCATTCTAGGCCTCCAGTCTAGAAAATATAATTGGAGTTGAAGGTATAATTACTAAATTTCTCAAGAGTGGAATTTCATATGTTGATGAGTTCCAAGTCTTTATTATAATGTATAAACAAAACAATAACCTCAGTTTTTATGCTAGACACATTTTAATGAAAGTGTCCATTTATCTTGCATATTTTATAAATGTGGGTATAAACAAATAATTTCATAAGCCACCAACTTTTTTTTTAACAAAGTAGATACTGTTGATTTCTCATTGAAAGTGTTCCTTTATTAATTATGGATTTTTCAGTCTTGTGTGGAAGATTATACTTTCTTTCCAGGTATATGTAAGTTGGTATGAGGTACTGCCACTCAGATCTGTGACTTCAGAGATTGAACTGAGCCTGAAAACTTGCAGTCAGTGTTAAGTGGTTAAAATTCACTAGGACATGAAGTTACATGGTGGCTGTGACTTGGGGAGTTTGGGGGACTGTGCTCTTGGTGGCAGCTGGACTTGACTGGATGAATTCACAAAGCCTGATAGAATTAGCCCTGCAGAGTTTGTTCTTCTCTGGGCCTCAGTTTCTCTTGTTACATGATTTTTTTTTTTTTTTCTGAACTTCTGATTTGTTTATGCAGAACATTATGGCTTCCTATGTCTCTAATATGCTTTGGAAAGATTAACTTGTTTTTGCAAAAATGCCTCAGTAGTCGCAATTCATGTTGCACATAAAGCCACAGGATGATTGGAAGGCAAGCAGGTGTCTGCCTGATCTTAGTGCTACAGCTTTGCATGCTGTGCACACACACTTGCACCTAGTGCCTTAGAACACCAGGACTGCAGTGGTTGTCGGCCAGTGTCCTGTTCCTTGCACATGCCATCCAGGACTCAGCCCTGCCAACGG